TCTGATAAGAAACCAACCAAGCATTAAAGTACAAAGCGTTTTTCGCAGTCAAAATTCCGAAACAAAAGCAATTAAATGGGCAAAACTGAAATCACACTGCATGGCAATAAACAATGATAGCTAACCGATATCACAGACCCAAGCTGCAGGAACACATCAATTTCCAAAACAGTTCAACTTTGTCCACACTAATCTTAACCCCTGCAATTTGCATAAAACCCTAATGCCCTAAAAAGCTCCCAAAAGAATCATTTATTGACATTATAAACCCTATCCTTTACTTCAATTGGAAATTAATGAGCAGCAAACAACCAGCCACTTCCAAAATTTCATTCATTCTCACCATATTGCCCTACTTTCTTCTTCTGCTTTCTCGCAAACCAAACGCAAGTTATGGCTATTTAAACCTACAAACACACACACGCAAATGCATACATACATATGTGTATAGAGAGAGAGAGAGAGAGAGAGAGAGAGAGAGAGAGAGAGAGGACCTTGCCGTAGGATTGAGAAGAAGAGGTGGGGAGATTGGAGCGAGAAGTGGCAGAGAAGGCCATGGTTCAACTCTGGAGCACCTCAGGGCTCCGCCATCACCGTTGGATCGATTTCTGATCTGAGCCAGCGATTATCCATTTGAATCAAATCTTTGGGTTTAAACCAAAACAAATTAATTTCCGACAGAAAAATCAAACGCAGAGAATCTAAAGAAGGAGAAGGACCGAAGCTTCTGGAGCGAAACGCAAGGGCGCTACAGGCTCACGTTAGCATCCACCAGTAAGCTTGGCCCTTTCTACTTTAGCTTCCTTCACTCTTCAGGGGCTTTCTGGGTGAAGCTATGTTGCGCCTAGAGATAAAAATAGAAAAAATAAAATAAAATCTGAAAATGACATATTGGATAAAAAGAAATCCTACGTGTCAGCCGACGTAACATGTGAGGACAAATTGGTGTGGAAGCGCCTTGGCCTGACACGTGTGATAACTGGAACCGTGAATGTGCACGGGAATTAATTACGTACACAACAACTTGTGCGTCAAAAGGGTTCTATTTCAAATCTAAAAATCTTTTGATTTTATAGTTATGAACACAACAAGGCGTACGTCAAAAGAGTTTTGAGATACCAAACTTTATTTGAAAGATTATATGGTAGAAAATGCGATGATTTTGACTCAAACGTGATAAGTAGGACATGGTTTTGAGTTTTTTTCTCCAATAGGCCTCAAAGTCATGACACTTGCTAATGGAATTGAGAATTAGAGAATTGGGTTACCTCGGATGTAGATATGTACCGCGTAGTTCTCTTCTGTGTAAGGAAAGTTCTAGTCTGAGTGTTTGGCGAGAAGTCCATAAATCCTCCACAATCAAAACATCAAACACTTAGCTGACAACACGATCAAAAATTCACAACTATACCAAAAACAAAGCAAAAAGAAAGAAAATTTACTGCAATTAGTAGTTACCAAAGGAATTGGGGTTGTTGAGTAGTGACAGAGGAGGTGGGGGTAGAGGAGAGCTCGATTCTTCGGAGGTGGTGGTGGAAATATATGGAAGGAAATATTTTTATAAAGTATAGCGGCGCTAATTTTTAAATATATTCGAATATTTATAGAGTATAGTTGTGCGGCTATATGTTTTAACTATATATATATTTTTAATTTAGAGATGGAAGTTCTTCCGTTTCATCTGTAATTGTGAATTGAATATTGAATGAATTTTATATATATTTTTTATTTAAATAGTATGGCCTCACGGCTATACTATTTAAATATATGTTTTTATTTAAGTTGTAAAGCAGAGCGGCTATACTACTTAAATTTATTGAGTATAGCCACCCGACCCTACTATTTAACTATTTTTTTCTAATTTAAAGAGTATAGCTGCGCGGCTCTACGTTTTAATTATTTTTTTATTAGTGGAGTATAGCCGCGCGGCTATACTATTTGAATAGATTTTTTTTGGGGCTTTTTAGGAGCTATGGTCCCTGAACTTATTCCCGAATGACATTGTGGTCCCTCAATTGCAAAAATGGCTGTGATGGTCCCTCAACTCTACTTTCGTTAGCATTACTCGTCTTGGTGTTACTTTTGTTAGCTTTTTCCGTCATTTTCAGCACCAGATGTACTGTAGAGGGTTAAAAATGACTTTTTGCAATTTAATTGTCTTCACAAGAAACTTCACTTTCAAAAGTCCCTAATTGTAATCGGGTCATTTGCATAAGCCCACGTAGACCCAAACCCAATCAAATGAGAGCGTCTTATAAGCCCAATTGTAAGGACC